CAAAAAATAAAGAAAAAAAATAAATAAATAAATAACAAGTGACAAGTTCTCCTTACTCTACAGTGAAAAGCTGTAATGAATCGAATGGGAAATTCCTTGTAATTTTAAAGTAAAATACAGTTTTTGGGAGTGAAAAAGTCATATTTTAATACGCAGTGAAAATCTGTAAATTGACATTCCCAGAATTCTCTGTATGACAGCTCACATGTAATATTTTTTCACTGATATACTGCCCCCACCCCCACCCCCATATCATACCATTTGTTTATTGCATTATTTCAGTGTCATGTGTGCTACCATGATGGTGTTTTGTATTTGTATGTATGACACTGTGCACCTTCTATATTTAATATTTTAAGCAATCATTTAAGCTTTTGGAAAAGCTATTTAATTATCTTTACCAGTGTTGGGGAAAGTTACTTATAAATGTAATACAGTGCAATATTGCATTACTCAATAAAAATTAACTAATTGCATTACTTAGTTACTTTTGATGGAAAGTAATGTATTACGTTACTTTTGTGTTGGGCTTTTGTTCTATATTTTGTTCTCTGGGCTTGCTTGTTAGTTGTTTAATAACAAAAAAAAAAAAAGCAAAAAGGTATATGCATCTGCACTCTGAACATGGCGACAGAGAGGAGTCAGTGAATAAATGGGGAAAAAGTAACTTCCATTACTTTACTAGTTACTTGAAAAAAGTAATCTGATTGCATAACTCGCCTTACTTGTATTGCGTGACCCCCAACATTGCTCTGTGCCACCTGTGTTTTTAAGGTGTTTGTCAGTATATTATAATGATGAAAAAAAGTTAATTTGATATATTAACATTATTCAATTAATGAAATATTTTTAATTTTTACTGTAAATATAAGTACTCTAAATATAAGTTGAATCTGTAATGGTATATTTCAGCGATTAATTTCTAGAATGAATTACAATATATTCATAATTACATTTTCTCTCACTTTAATTTTGGTTTTAGAACAAAGTAAAACTCTCACGCACTCCTGAAAAAAAGTGCCCAACAGGAAATTAACATCAGCATCCTGAGAATGCATCTGCTCGGTTTAACTGCATCTGACTTGATAAAATGCGAGAGTGAAGGGGACTTAATGGATGAGTGGGAAAACGTGACTTGCACTTATTTTGGGGGGTCTTTTTTAAATTACAGTCATTTAGATGTAATTGCCAGGTGTTACGCTTCACCTGCTTTCGGGGGGAATGTGTGCTAAACAGCTGTCACACATTAACTCAAAAACTACGTGGCATTAGGACGCACTTAGACAGCTGGAGTACACAGGCAGGGTTCAGTGCGTACATGCACACACAAAACTATCAGCTACATGCTTTTCTTGAGTTTGACAGAGAGCAATTACAATGCTTTTATTTCATGAAAGAAAGATAAATGTGTTATTTTCTCATTCAAAATAAATAAACAGTGCCTGCAAAGGTGACTAGGATGCAAAGCTATATATGCTGCAATCTCACAATGAATGATGTTAAATGTGTGCTGCACAAGACCCCAAATGATGAAGAAAAAGCATGGGAGGGATTCATTAAGAATGTTGCACACATTTATTTGCATGGTTTGTCTGTTATTTTACCAGCTTCACTAAATGAATTATGCAAATGTCTTGCTGCTCAAGAAACATTTCTGATATTTGCCAATATTGAAAATAGTTGTGCTGCTTCATATGTGTATGGAAACCTTGATACTTTTTTTAGAATCATTTGCGAAATTCAGAAGAAAGTTAAGAAGAACTAAATGTATTTGAAATAGAAATCTTGTGTAACATTATAAAATACTCTGATGTCACTTTCAATAATTTTAATGCATATTTACTGTATGTACTAATTCCTTCTTGAATGTTAGTATATATGTATATGTATATGTCCAGCACATACAATCATTTCGATATTTCTGCTTGTGTACCTGCAGAGTTTTTTCGACGGCTGGGACATAAACGAAAAGGACAAGACCAAGGGCCGACACGACACCCTTCTGGGTCGTAAGTATTATTCAAAAATAAGGATTATACAATAGTTTAATGTTATAGTTACAGCACATGTTGCAAAGATAATACTCTAATGTACTAATAATACTCTTAGTCTAATATGTGTATGTATGTGTACTGTTGTACCCAGTATTTGTGTAAACCATACACAAATACTGGGTACATCAGTCAGTTTAATTCAATTTATTTAAAAATAGACCACAGCTATCACAGCCTGCATAGGTGGCTCATCAGGATTTGGAATGGAGCTTTATTCAATATTTATTATTATTTAATTATTCATCGTAAAGTTGTTATTATCAGTGTTGGGGGTAACGCATTACAAGTAACGCGAGTTACGTAATCAGATAACTTTTTTAAGTAACTAGTAAAGTAACGCATTACTTTTTAATTTACAAGAAAATATCGGAGTTACTTTTTCAAATAAGTAACGCCAGTTACTTTTTTTTTTTTTTACCATTTATTGATTGAAAACTCTCCTGTCCCCATGCATTACTCACTCACACTAAAACAAAAAAATCAGATTTAGTTTTCCTCAAAATTAATAAAAACAGTTAAAAGCAACTCAGAATATGACTCAAAGCTGCAATAATTACATATGTTAAATAATACAAATATCCTTTATGTATTTAATCTCATTTTATTAACCAATTTGCTGCTGACCTTCGATGATCCAATTCAACCATACTAACAAGCAAAAATTACAGAAGATAAACTAACATAACAACTTATTTTTTATTGCTGAAGAGTGTTGAACATTCTTCTTCTGCGTTCTACTGTACAGACGTGATTCACGTGAATTTACATTTCCTTCAGCCTGAGGCTTTTGGTGTGAAAGGGCTTTTATATTTGCCAAAAATAGAACTTTTTTATTTTAAAAGCAAACGAGCAAGCCCAGCCCAGATTTAAGAAGTAGCGCAAAAGTAACGTAACGCATTACTTTCAATAAAAAGTAACTAAGTAACGTAATTAGTTACTTTTTTTTTTTGGAAGCAACGCAATATTGTAATGCATTACTTTTAAAAGTAACTTTCCCCAACACTGGTTAATATTATCATCCCTGACTAACATTGTTCTTAATTTTTAATCCCTAACAGAAGACCGTCACCGTGTGAAAATGCATTCTCTCCTGGCCGATCCTAACTCAGACTATGTCAATGCAAACTACATCGATGTAAGTTTTTCTGTTTTACACTTCTTTGTTCACACCTCCGTCTCTGGACATGTTTCCTTCAAGTAAGAGGTGTTTCTCTCACTCTAGCTTTCAGTGAAGGTGTACATATTAACACGTTTATATGGCTTATATGGAAATGCCTTTTCTCACTGAGAGAGCTGTCCACTGACGACTTTGCTGTCGCTTTCTTGTTTTGACATGAACCTTTTTTTTTTATTTCAGTATTTGAGCTATTCGTTACGCTCCCATGCGACTGCATTGTCCTGCCTCCCTAACAACCTGTCAAACGTCTGATTTTAGTGCAGACGTGTCTTTTCTTTTCCCAGAAAGATTTGTTAGCACAAATCTTAGACGTGCGACACTTTCCTGTCAGGCAGATTCTGAACACTTTGCTCTTAATCCTAACCGTTTGATAGATAGCGGCTTTCAAACATACGTTCCTGTCGCACATAAGAAGCATCAGTTTTCTAAGTATCTCTGCTGGGATCTCAGTAAATCCATTTTTGCCATGTTTTGGTGGGAAGGTTATCCAGTGCAATTGAGCAATCAAAACCTCCGCGGTGTGAAGAACTCGAAAGATCTTAAGACTAACTGTTAGGTGTTTTGTCAATTTGTTTTTACGGCTCTACAGGTTTTTATTATAGGTTTGAATAGCATTCATTTCTATTCAAGGCTGAAGCCTCTCAGGAGCTGTTGTTATGATCGGCGCTTTCAAAAAATTGCTCTTTCTGCTTGGGCTGCACTTGAGGCGCAGGATATGCGTGATGAGAAATGGGGTCTGATTATAGAGGGTTAGGGTTAGGGTTAGGGGTTATAGAGGTCTGATACTAAAATGTAAAGCCGTGTCACTTCACCTATATAAAAAAAAAAACAGATGTCTTGATTTTCTTTCCTCCTCAATAGTGATTCACATTTAAGAATCAAGTCCCCATGTGATTAATGAAAACAGTGAATTGGCTTTTTGATTCTTGAATGCGAGTCACTATTGAGGTTGTGATGCAAGTTAAATGGATTCACACACCAAAATAAGACAATATTGGAAACGAGACTTCATGAAATTTAGCATGTTCACCAAAAGATTGCTACAGAAATGTACTAAAGCAATATTTAATGTAGGCTACTGTTTTTTGGCAAATCTATGTTTTGAAAGCAAAAAAAAAATAAAAAAAGTCTTAATCATTCTAAAGTTTATTGTTGTGTTTGGCTACAGAAAACAGTACATGTTAAATGACAACGACAAAACTGAAAGTGGAATTGCATTTCACTGCATAGTAGACATCTTTTTATGTGGGTCCTTTGCACATAGTTTAATGAAAGACTACTTAACTGGTGAAATAATGTCACCCTTATGCTTCTAAAAATGTATAAGCATTAAGAATAGTTTTCAAATTTGACTGACTCCCTGCACTTAAAAAGAATTAATAAATCTGCAAACTGCCTAAAATTCCCACTCCTAGTCTCTATGAAATATGATGTAGCAAGTGGCAAAATTATTTTTTATGCTAGGTTATTAACTGTGCTGCTAAAACATTTTTAAACACTAACGAGCTGAACAATAGACTATTTGAGGATTTTTCTCGGACAATGCATGGCAACCCTGAACTGTAATTTGCAGTCAGTTTGAAGTGATTTCCTCACTGCAGGACGGAGAATTTCACTTCTGACGACTTTATTTCTTTCCTCTTTTCTCTAATCATCTTAATTATCCTGTTTCTCTTTCTCTCTTCTTTCACCCATCCCTCTTTTTCTGTGTCTGGGATCTCTTAGATTCGGATAAACAGGGAAGTAAGTACTTGTCTTTCTCTTGTCTTCTGTCATCATCTGTCCATCGCTCATTTATCCCTGCTATCGTCGCTCTGCGCTCCGACGTTTTATTTCCTGAAGCCTTTTCTGTTATTTGAGATCATTGTAGCTTTGTTTGATCTCATTGCATCACTTCCTGTAACCCACAGCTTAATAATCTTAAACTTTAAACACCCCCTGAAAAGCTTTTTTTTAGACATACAGCATATCTGATTGAAACAAAAAGGTGCAGTGGGACATATCAATAGCCATTACTTTACACATATATTGTAACTATATGATATTAAAATTATTAGACATTAACTGTAACTATATGATATTAAAATTATTAGACATTAAATTAAAAAAAAACTGTTTTGATTTCATGGGGTCTTTAAAATCATGGCTCATGGGTTCTGAAATCTGGATTTAAACCTCATCTTGGACAAAAATGAAAGTCCACAAAATAAACTTGGTCTTAAAACCTGGCTTAAATCATAACATACATATACACATGGTTTTATTTTTTTTAGAGGATATACTGTATAGGATCAGTAGCAGATACAACATGTATATATCCATCTCATGTTTTGCACTGTGATTATTATATACAATAAAGTTGTATGCCATTATGCTGCATGCTATACATATGTTCCTCATGGAAAAATGCGGTTTAAAGTCTAAGAATAGCATGGTTTGATTAAATGAAAAATGAATTAATTTCTAAAAAATCAGGATCGATAATATGTAAAACCTATCAAAATCAGTTTTGCTTTACCTTCAAAACAGCTTAATCAGATTCACTTTCTTTATGTTATTCACAGCTTCCGTTTCTTTATGTGATTTTCTTTGAAAACAAAAGGAAAGGAAAAATCAAGGGAATGAATGTTGAAATATTCAGCGCTGCAGTTTTATATCCCAAGGCTGTAGATAGAATACGGCTAGGAGGTCTGACATTTCTCTACATCTTTTCTTTACATTGTCTGTCTCCTGAAAGAGTTTTGTGTTCTCTCCTGTGTTCTTGTAGCTTTGTCCATGTCATTTTCTACAGCTTTTTGCCATCTTTTATGTTGCGGGTTTCTCTTGGTTGAACAGATGAATCTCTGTTAAATTGTCTGCTTTGCTCCAGATTATTGTTCCAGTCTGATTGTGTGTTTCTAGTTTAGTATGCTGTAGCGTCAGTGTATTTTGAGTGTGCAGTTAAAGTGCAAACTAGTGTGTGCAGGCTTTATTGTGTATTTTAAAGGACAATATTATAATTGACAGTATTTGGCACTTGTCACTATGTACTCTGTTAATGTAAGAAATCCAGGTGTATAGTATATTGCATATACATACATGGCACAATGCCAGTTTGGGACAATTTTATGTACAGTATTACATCATTTACAAATGAAAAATTAATTATGGCCTTGTGACTGATTAAATGTACTGTGTTCGTAGCAGTTGAAAAGTAGTACATACGCTATATATAGTAATATATATATATATACAGTATATATATATACTGTATACACTGTTAGACTTTTTATCGAATTTTTGTGGTAAATTACTGGCAGCACTATTGCCAGTAAGTTACTGTAACTACCCCTTTACAGGAGCTTATCGCAAGTTCATTTTAAAGTATAATGCCCTTACCACAATTTAAATTTACAGTGAAATACCCTTACTGCAACTTAATTTTACAGTACTATATCCTTATATCCTAACTGTAACTTAGTTTTACAGTTTAATAATATTACAGTAATTTTACTGTAATTTATTTTTCACTATTTATTTTATAAAACCTTTGAATATTTTACATGAATGCCATTGAATTGAATAAATTCCAAATAAGTGACCTGAGTCCATGTACAACAGTATATATTTTTATTCACTGTCATTATTATAATAAAACAAATAGAGAACTGAATTCATAACAACAAATCAAAGCAGAGATCATGACAATATTGCAACAAAAAGAAATATGGCAAAAAGCATATCCCAGTTGGTCTTGGCTGCATGCCCTCCATAACAACCGACAGCTGATCTGAAACAAAACAGAGGGGAAATGTGTGAGAAATGGTCATGAGTTTATCTTTATCTTTATGGTCCTTCAAACTTAAACTTTTTTTGGGGCAGTGTTTTAAAGTATCTTTTTTAGCTGTGACAGCTCTTGATCCAAGGAATATCAGTGTGCATCAGCTACTGTAACATTTGTATTGTTTGTAAATATTAGAGCAAAACAGGCTTTTGAGTCAATCTAGAAGTACTCTTGAAGAATACAGGATAATAACCAAAATGAATACTAAATCAAGGTACATAAATGGCTGTCATCAAATTCTCAGAAATATTTTAATCCAATTAAATCGTATGGAAACTGGAATCATATGGAATCAGAATAAGAGAATAAGAATAATTGTGAATCAAACTGAATTGAATCAAGATCAGAACTGAATTAAGAGCTTGTGAATCAAATGGAATTATGAAATCTGTATCAATCCACAGCCCAACATCTGAGTGATCATATATATATTTCGGGGGGGGGGGTCCGAAACCAGTCAGTATCTGGTGTGACCACCATTTGCCTCACGCAGTGCAACACATCTCCTTCGCATAGAG